ATTAGAAGGAAAATTAAATTCGATATATTTTTCTTATCGAAGAATATATGTTCTATTGTAATAGCTCAACATTTTCAAATGCTATAGTTTAAATTTTTAATTGTTTTATCTGAAAATAATGTATCAACACTCTTTCTTTCATTTATTAACTTTTGAAATTTGAAATCTTGTCAAAAAGCATTTGTAAAATATAACTGTAAAAATTGAAATTACAAATTGAAAATTATTTTTTGCCTTTGAAAGACACTTAATTAGCATCATGAGAAATCACTAATTTAACAATCATTCATCTAAAATTTTGTTACAAAATTAAAAAAAAAAAAACTTCCTTCACAAATTGATGAGCTTAAATATACATTTTTAAGTATCATAGAAATAAAAAAAAAAAAAGAAAAAAGGACCAAAATGATATTTGTCTAAAACATTCGGAAGAAAGAGAAAACTAAAATGTTGAAAAAGATGGACAGTATTCTGACCTTGACAAATCGCTGTTCGAGAATGTCATCGATATGTTTTAAAAATTGAAAAACAAGAATTTTAATCAAGATATGCAACGATACGAATCTATTTATTGTGGCCGACCGTATGCTTTCACATTCATATAAGATGATCATCCAACTCTTACTATCTTCTACTATCGTTTTTTTCTTTTCAACTTTTCCCGAAAACTGAATGCTTTAGTAAAGATTTCGAGAATTGATATAAGATGTGAATGATGATGGTACCTCCATTTTTTGTGTACAAAAATCTTTCTAAAACATGTTTGTTCCAATCATCTTACGATATTTCAATATGTGATGAAAAATTACAGTAATACTTTAATTTTTTCTTTTTTAATATTTCAAATATTACTCAGTTGGTTTCATTTTTTGCAAATATCACAATGACATTAAAATTTGAAATAAAATCTTTTTTTTTTTTTTTTTTTACAATTTTTTTAAGAATTTTTTGCAAAATTTAAAAAGTCTTTTTTTTTTTTTTTGTTGTTGTTGTTGTTGTTTTATACCAATCCCTAAAAAATTGTTATTCTTGAAATCTGTAAAAAAAAAAAAAAAATTTTTGACTAAAGATTAATTATTCAGTGTAATTTTCTTTTTTTTTTTTTTTTTTTTAAAATTGACTCAAAATGAAATTTGATTTGTAAAATAAGCTTATGCATAGTGTTAAACTATTTTGTTTAATTATTTTTCACTTCTCATTCAAACTGTCAGTGTTGTTAAACATTAGCAAATTTAAATTTTGCTTTCATCAATACATTTAGTAATTTTTAGTTTATTCCATTTTCAAGCAGTTTGGAAATAAAAATATACATTAAGCGAAAATTTAAACATTTATAAATTATAAATTGCAAAAAATTAAAAGTGAAGTAATTAGTTTCGTAAAGTTTTTTCTTTTCTTTTTTAAACCAAAATTTTCACTTTTTTTTTTTTTTTTTTATGCAAACTTGTGAAAGCTTATTGGCGCCTCTAACTAATTTGATATGTTTTGTTAAATAAATTATACAATATCCATTATCGGATCAATGACGCCTAAAGCAAAACAAGGCGCCAATAAAATGATTGTGCGACTAGAAGGCGCTAATAGTATAGAATCTTTTTTTTTTTTTTTTTTTTTTTTTAAATAATCTAAAAGATATATTTAAAAATAGATGGTGTGATAATCAATGGCTTTTACCAACTGACTGAAATTATTTAGCTAAACTTTACACAGTACATTACTGCAAACTTTACAACACAGAATGATAAGATGCGCTTTTAAGATAACAAATAATGTGTAAATTTTTAGCTAACGTTATGAAAAATTTTGAGATATTTTTTTATAAGTAAAATAACTGAGATATTTTTTGTAATTGAAATAATTGATTTATGTAAATTGCTTATTATAATAAGATCAATCGTTAAATAATTAATTAAATAAAACAATCGTAATTAGATAGATAAAGAAAGATTAAATTAAACTGTGATATGATTAGTGCTTGCTTATCAAATATATTTTAGCATAAGAAGTAGAAAGAAGCTTCAAATTGATTTGTTGTTTTTAAAATGAACAAATAAAAATTTATTGCCAATTTGAAATTGATTCCGAACTTGCCTGATTATCATCTGATGCAACTTCAACAAACTATCCATTTTAATTAGAAACTTTTAGTTAATAAATGGCTTTAGCAAATAAACTTAGTAAACTTAGTGATTACTGAGTTCTACTGATTAAGAAAATAAATTTAATTAAAATTGATACATTTAGTATCACTTTTAGATTATTTCTTTTCGATTGATTTATTTAAATTTCAAATGATAAAACAAAAAATTTACATTCTATCAAACATGCATTCATTCCTGTCAAGTTTCTTTCAAGAGAAAAGAGAGGGATGAGGGATGAAGAAATGGATCAGTAAAAAGATCAGGAATGTCCTCCGGTTCGATCGGACAGGAGAAAGAACACTTTAATGATTGATATGCTTCACAGCAAATACGAATGTCCAAAAAGGAATTACCATCATAGTTGACAAACCCTCTAATTACAATCATTTCTAAAATGCGACACTTGACCTTCTGAACTAGAAATTATTTTTGATTCTGTATCAAAAACTTTTCAAAGTTATTTCAACTTTTCCATTGTATATACTTTATTTTCATTACTTTTAAATTGTTGCTTTTTTTTTTTTTTTTTTTTAAATAAGAATCTGATGTAATTATGCTTAGAACTTATATGCATGAAACTATGATAAGATAAGATATCAAATAAATCAATGCTAAACAATCTCGAATATTTCAACGGTTAGAATTAAATGCAATAATTTAGTTCAAAAGTAAAAATACAGTTTTGTTTTTTTTTTTTTTTTGTTTTCTTTTCATAAAATATGCATCAATAAATGATCAAAAAATATCCGATGATTATTGTTACTATTACCGCGAAAAGATCGTTGAGTGAAAGAAATTGTCTTTAGTGATTGATAAAAATAAAAAAGCGGCGAAACAATTTGGATTACAAATTAATTTGTCAATTGTTAAAAAGTAATAAATTAAAAGAATACAAAATGCGGGATTGAAATTCAAAGCGATGATTTAAAATTTAATTCTATTTTGTTCCTTTCAATTTCGACAAAAAAAAAAAAAAAAAAAAAAAGCATAAATTTTATTATGTCTATTTTACTACGTTTAAATGCGGTTTACAATGAAATGATTGATACGATTAGACAACAACAACAACTTTCTCAATTTAAAAGCAATTGCTTTGTCATTCAAACAATAGCTTCAAATTTTAAAACATTGAAGAAAGCACCGCTTTATTCTTTTCTTCTTTTTTTTTTTTTTTTGCATTTGTTTAAGTGTGTATGTGTAAGCTTAAAACTTTTCGAGATTTATGCTTCAATTGTCAAAAGTGGAAACAATGAGAAGAACTATTTTTTACTTTTTTTTTTTTTTTTTTTTCAAACTTTGATTTATTTTAGAAATATTATTATTTATTAATCGGCAACAATCAAAATGAACAAATAGAAAATGAAAAGAAAATGAATGACCTCAAAGATTTCTTATAATTATATAGAAGAGATAGAAGACTGAAAGATTTTTGAATAGATTTAAAAATAATAAAATTCTCAGAAAAAGTAAAAGTTATAAAAAACAAATAAAAGATCATTTTATATACTAAAAAAGGGCATAACTTTATTATATTGAAAGTATGAGAATGGACAGTTGTAGTGAATTAAAATTAGTATAAAACATTTTGAATAAAGTAACTAAAAAAAGAAATAGAACATAGATTATTTGAGAAAACAGAAAATTATAAATGAATAATTAAAAGCAAATTAATAGAGAGTGGACAGTATTACTAAGTAAGTACTAAGTAATTAATAAAAGAGTGATAAGTTTCGTTTGCTGACCAAAAGCGCCTCTCTAAGACAATTGCAACTATTTAACTTTTTTCCGCTTATTTCTTTCCTACTTCAATTGCTTACAAAATTTCTATTGTAGAACATTTCAACTCTAAAATTCTTTTCAAATCCATTTTGCAAAAATTCTTTCTAATAGTAAAATCTACTCTTTGTCATATCAAAATAAAAATTATAATTGAGCAAAGTTTTCCCAAAATAAAAATAATTTCCCAAAATGATAATTTCTCCTAAAATATTTATGCGAGAGTATTACTTTAATGTCACAACAATTGTTGACAGATTTCTGATTTCTTTTTTTTTTGTAACCGAATTTAAAGGATTTCTATTGCTCCGTGGCGCTATTTTTTTCAACAATTATATCCCAATGATTTCAACTCTAATTACCGTTTTCTATTTCAATCAATTCAAATTAATTTCTCAATCTTCAAAGAAACTGTAGAAGGTTTCCAAACATGACAAAAACTTGAAATGATAACTTTTGCCTAAGGGCAAAAGGCGAGAATAGCCTTGTAGTAAAACAAAAAACGAACAAGGTCATTCTCGATTTTCGATTTTCAAAATGTCATTTGACTAGTTTGGCGGGCTATCAGCGCACTTCTCCATTTCTTATAATTTATTAACTCTCGACGTATTTTGTTGTATTAAATGTAGAAATGATAATGAGAGATGGCCTTGCATCTCGGGCGCTTTGCTTCTTTTACCGCCCTTCTTGACAATCTTTTCAAACCCCACTCCACATCTCCCATACATATATCTCTTTCCTATATTTTTCGGGGAAAGGGAGGGGAACAGGGAAGGGGTAAGGAAAGGTGGCGCCAAGCTGATACACCTGATAATTATTAGTGAACTGTAATTTACATAACAGATGTTTGAAATTGCAGTGACCATGGCCTAGAAAAAGTTGTACACATCGTTTTTACAGGTTTGGCGCTAATCTGTTCAACCATACTTCTTCAGATGCTCACTCATTACTTTCAATTTTTAATTAAGCGAAAAGATGATCGAGCGTAAAACTTCTAATGTTTTCCCATAATTCATGTAATTTTCGTTTAGCAGCTGCAGCAGCACTTATTTCGAGATCGAGATTTAATTTCATCTTTCATTCTCATACTTCGAAATCATTGTTTGAGAAATGCAATTTGATGTGCAATATTTTTCTGAAACATTAACAGTTTTTCAAGCATGGTGAGGATCTTCTTGTAATAATCTTCTTATAATAGAAGTGTTGTTACAAAAAAAAAAAAAAAGCGAAATATATTAAAGTTAATCATTTGTTTCAAAACAGGTTGCATTACAGGTAATAAATAAGTTCACGTTACAAAAGCAAATAGTTCACACAGCATTTGACGAATCTTTTTTGAAATGAAATTTTTTTGAGTCAAAGAAATTTTAATATTTTTAGGAAAAAATTTTTCAAGTTTAAGTTTACTATTTTACTGAAATTACACACTGATACTGTTCAATATAACATAAACATTATTTTGTTTAAATTTCCTCTCCAAAATCGATAATAGATTATCAATTAAAGTTGAACTGTGATAAAGATGTCGTCTAGCTATTAAAAATCTAAAATGTCAATTTTGTAGATATTGCGCAACAGTCTCTGTATAACTTGATGATCATTGGAAAATTTGTTACATTAATTTCTTAGTATCGTAAATAGATTAATAATAAGCCATAAATAAGCTATAAAAATTAGAATGACCATTGCATCATCATTCTGTTCCCTTGACCAGATCTGGATTTTACACTTATCACTTTCCAGTATTAATTATTGTTTGAAAATTCATTCAAAAATTTCGCATAACAAAATAAGAAAAAGTAGTAGTTGTAGTTGACCATGACCTAATTTGATTTGTGTGGTATTATGCAAGCGCAAATAGGCCTGCATTGTTGTTTTAGAGAAATTTCATTTCTAAAGTATCTAAATTCGAACATCGTTTCTGTGTGCCAAATTTTCCTTCAAATTAATTAAACATTCGATATTCAACGACGATATCAATCAATTTAAAATACAAAATTTTTTAAAATATTTTTAGCTAAATTTTTGATATTATACCTAATCCATAAATTATCACAATCATATATTATCCATGAATTTGAAAAGAAATGCTCAAATTTTAACAGTGTTATGTTTTAATGTCTTTTATCTACTATCTCTATGTATAATGCAATTCCTTATCACCTTATCACATTAGATTTTGAATAGTTTGATCGACTATCATTGAAAAAAACACCGCTCGACACTTTTTTCGAATTGATTTTCCGTTTTTTTTTGTCAAAGTGTTTCCGATTTCCTGAATATACAACAATCATTAAGGATTGTTATTAAATTGGAGGTCATATACATGCTGTCTATATAAAAATATAAAAGGACATGACCAGGTGGTCAATATTATATATAAAATTTATAATTTTGGTCAAACAATGACCAAAATTAAATATTAAATTGTGCAAACAAAATAAATTCAAATATCATTAAATAAATAAATAAATTCATTCATCGCTTAAGCTTTTTATTATATGAGAGATAAAATGTGATTCCTTATTTGTTTGCCTGTTATCTAAGCAAAAGAGTCGTTTACAAAATGCCATTAAATAGTAAAATGAATTGAACTGAACTAAATTAAATTTAATTAAGTAGGAAACAATTAGGAGAAAAAGGCCGAAAGGTGGCAGGTTGAATTCGATCTATAACATTCTATATTTGTGTCACACACACACACACATACATACATACATACATACATATATATACATACATACATACACATACATACATACGTGCACATACAGACACATACATATGTATATATATACAAACAAAAACAATTGATGTCAATTGTGTTAAATGAAATTAGTGAAAGAAAAGAACAAGGAAAAAAATCACCAGAACTATTTGCATTATGTCTTATTTCAACGTGTGCGCAATTGGACATATATTTGCCTTCCTTGTTTATCATATCATATCATATCGTATTATCATACTGTTTCGTACTGTAGAGAATTTAGAACTTGAATGAAACTTTTATCCCTGAAATAACTTTTATTAAATCTTCCCAGTAAACAGATTCAATCCTATCATTTTAGATATTACTTTTAATATTTGTTAAGAAACTATATTAGAAGTGATATAAGGTATTCATTAAATGAAGAAAGTTCTACTACAACATATACTTCTAAAAGATAATATTTACTAATTTAAATTCCATTTCCATGTATGCCAGATATTCTTTCAGTAATTTTCATTTCCAGTATTCTGTTTTTCCATTCCGGATTGATAATTTCTAATGCCACCCTATTAAGTAATGAATGCTCCCTGGAACTTTATGCATTTGTCCTATGATGGAACAATGAAATTTGTTTCCCTTTGAAATATTGAAGAGACTGATGTGGCGCCAAAACTGGTGAGGGAGGAACAAGTTCCTTGATGGAGCAGCGAGCCCACATGGATAGATCATCGAATAGCTGTAAACAACTAACCCCTTCATTCTTTATTCACCCGTCATTCTTACACTTACACTTACCCTTACCCATACTCTTACCCACACCCACATTTCATAGCATATCCCAAACAATAGATGCCTTTTTATGCATGCAAAATAATGCTTCTTCTCTTATAAACAACTTCGTTTGACAGTAACTTTTACCCAAACAAAGTACATACGGCAAGGAAAGAAGAAGCACAAAAAGCTGCTACCATCCAATATTTCCCCTTCTTTTTCACTTAGCAAACAACCTCCATCCATCCATCCATCCATCCGTCCGTCCGTCCGTCCGTCCGTCTGTCTGTTTATCTGTTCGACTGTTCTCATCAACTGTACTTTTTGCGCGCGCGCGCGTCTACCTACACAGAAAAAAACAATTCTATCTTTTTCTTCAGAAGAAAAAACTGTGTGTTTTTTGGAGAGTTGACAACAGTGACAATGTTATTGTTTAAAATGATAGTTGTCAAAGAGTGGAGAACGATAAGATGACACATGAGCATTCTCAAATTGAGTACATGTCAACTGAAGATATGATAGCAGCTAGCTGTACCTACTACAGTCTTCTCGATCTTTCGTTCTGTCTCGACCACCTTAACGAGATCACATCTTTCTACCTGTCATATCACCATGCTTCTTCAGTACCAGCCATCCTTTCTTCTTCTTTCCTTTTGGCAGCTTCATATCACTTCGTTGCGCTCTTTTGGCAGTTGTCCATTCGTGCTTCCTTAAACAAACCTCTGGGAATTCCCTATCAAAAAAAAAAAAAAAAAACTCCCGATCACAATCCATCGATCACAATCCATCGATCATAATCCATCGATCATAATTCATCACACGAACAGTTCATAATGTTATTTCTCCATTTCTGTGACAGCTATCACATATTGCATCTGCTGCACCATTCATCTCAAAATAGCCATATATTAGCTGCTAAGAGTTATCAGTTGTTATCAACAGTAGTTAAATTTCCCGTGATCCAGCATATCACTGATTGATCTCTTATTATCACCATCGTTCACTTATCAGTAATAGTCAAATAAAAACGAGTGCTCGTGATGCTACATTACTGATTACAAGTGGACATCACACAATGTGCACAGTACTGATAAGGGCGGTGGTAGCTTGCACATTTGCGCTTCACGTTCTCTTGGTTATGTGCCAACTTTTCTCTTTCTTTATGTGCAGTGAAAATAGGACTGAAATTGGAGAGAATGCAGACGACTACATTTTTACGTGAGTGCTTTCTGTGAATGAAGTTGAAAGTAATAGATGTTGTGATTGAGAAGAGATGAAGAGATGAAGGGGTGGAGAGGAGAAGGAGGGCATCTTTGAAGAGATGGCAGTTCGTTAGTGGAAGAGAGATGACGTGTGAGATGGAGAAGATGGATGAAGAGAGAGAATAGGGAGCAAAAGGAAAGGGAGGTGCTATGAAGAAGGGGGTGGTGCGTCGTTGTGTGTTCCATCAGGAAGGAGTGCATTGCTGAGTGCGGGAAAGCAGCCAGTCGGCATAGTGAGTGAGTGCGTCGCTGTGTTGGTCAACTGTCCACTTGACCCCGATGACCCTTATCTGATTGCCCTTCTTTGCTTACATTACCTGTGTAATGACCACATATGCTGACACATACATTGCTGCAACCTTTGTTACTGTTAACGACCGGTATCTGTCACTTCCCACTGTCTCTTTCACTCACTACCTCTATCATTATCACTGTCATCGTCACAATCAGTACTGTTAACATCATCGATTGATTAATCAGTTAAATTGAGCTGCCGCAATTTCATGTTCTATCAATGCAAACCTGCTCGACTGTGTATCTATCTGTATGGAATATCACTCTTTAAGACCACCTGTGCATCTCACCTGTGATTAATGCTGACTAATGTTTTATCTTATCTCGTTCACCTTACTTTTCCACACAATTAACTTATTCATGACTCATGTTATGTAAATTTTTTTTTTAAAGTTTTGATTTGATTGTTTGGAAACGTTCAAATGAAGTTAATGGAATCTACATGCAAATTTTCGTCCATTCATTTTCTAGCAGTTATTGATTGTGAACTCTCTCGAAATTACTCTCGAAAGTTTATTGATTTCTTTTTATTTTTACTGGCTTGCTTTATGGGCTTTAAATCATAAGCAAAATTGTAGTTAGGCATTTCGTGTACTCCTAAATTTCAATTTTAATCATTCAAAAGTTCTATTAACGTATTGCAAAAATGTACACTATACGTTCTGTATCACTGGATTGTATTCTGTTTATTCTAATTAAATCAGTGATACCGCGACAATTAGGAAAGAGAACTCTTATCGGGTTTCGCAAATAAGATGACCCGTGTTCTCCTCTTTTTTTTTTTTTTATTTCATTCTTCATTCCTCCTCTCCTTTTACAATAATCGGACGATGTTGTCCATCAATATGAACTATAGGGAACTTCAGCCTCCTCCTCTCTTAACAACCCTATAAATTAATCTTTTTCCTGAAATGTTCAGATTGTTGGACAACTGGACGATAGCTCATTGTCTTCCACTCTCTCTTTTTGCACTTTATTTTTTATCACTGATACTAATATAGTCATTTGCTTTAACAACTGACCGTCATAATGACCAGAACACTATTTGCTATTGCTTAAAGATAATCTATCGCTTTTTTGCATGAAGTTCAGCATAGGTTAAAAGGATCATTTCCTTGAGACTTCTTACTCTTACATCTGTTTCAATAGAATGTAGTAACTTTTGTTACTACTACTACTACTACTACTACTACTATGTTACTTAAAGTAAGTATTTTTCTCATTGAATGTCATTTAAATGATTTATGTTTGCAAATAAATATTTGGATAAATTGTTCTATTGATAATGGGACCATTAATGCTTGAATTATGGTTATGTCATTGAAATGGAAAGGGAAATGAATGCTTTTCAAGCTAGTATTAAGTCAGTTTCCATGCTCCTTTTCTCCTCTGTCCTCCACTAAAGTGTCATTCCTTGTCCTAATCCTTACCCGGCCATCTCTTTACGTCCTTATTATCTGAGGCCATATGGCTTCAATATTATAATCTCTTCCCAGTCATGCTTGATTTACTGCTTTACACAGCTTTCTGATTGCTTAATTTTCCAAGCTGTTCACATCTGTCATATTTTCTTGGCTATCTCGATTTATTAGGTTCATTTTCTTGAAAAAGACGATAGGACGAATGACTGATACTTGAATTACACGAGCGCACAATTTCTTAGAAATTAAATAATTCGGAAATTTTTAAACTCTCTTTATCGCTTCATTTTTACTAAAAAAAAAAAAATTGTTTTAAAGCAAAAATTGGTTGTTCTTTACATGGATGGAATGAAATTATCATGCATTGTGGAATTAAATTCATGTTGAACTTTTTGAAACATACTTAAACGATTTAATTCTTGTTTTGTTTTGGTTACTTATTGCGTACGAAGTTATGTCTGTCTCTATGCAGTTCACTTATATCAAATATGATTTTCAGTTTATTAATCATTCCTGTACTTCTGGAACAAGATCAGAAATAAAGAAGCTGAAAAGTCGTTTATCGCTTATTATAACTCCTAATTTTCTCGCCATTCTCGATTATTTGGCAAATTCAATGGAAGATTCAGTTTTTCTATCAACACCGGTGAATGCTACTGCAGCTGTTACTGTTCCTCATAAAATGGGACCTGTAAAATTGCTGAAGCGTAGTGCTCGACGGTGTCTGTTTGGACGTCCGGATCCGCAAAATGTTGATCAGTGGCTAACGAAGGAATTAAGCGAAATTCGACGCGAGCAGCATCGGAGATGGGGTTTTCTGTTCGGTCATGAAAATCCATGTGCATCAGCAATCACCACCGAATGGGAATTCACTCCTGTTCCGGCCGAATCAGTAAGTTGTGCATTTCAGGTCTTCATGTATTTTTATCTGCAGTATGCTTCGATATCACTCTTAGTATTGCAGTATATCGCTTAAAATTAGATTTAATTAAATTTGATCTGTAGTTTAAGTTGTCGTCCATTTGTGCAAGCTTTCATTGGTGTTAAAATAAATTTCGAGAATGCGCACTTAGTTTACAAACTGTTTACTTAGTTTATAAGAATTACTGTTTTATTTTTCATTTATTATAGGTTCCTCAGTTCTATCGCAGTTCCTATTATTTATCCAGTCGCTGTACACCAACTGAAACTGAGAATTGCGTGCCCTGTAGCAGTGGCGAAAATAATAACTGTAATGTGGATTCTCTGGCTACTTCTGTATCATCTGATTGCTCAGGTCCAGAAATACCGGTCCTTCCAGCTACATCAAGTCTAACAAAATGCAAAGAACAACGTATAGCTGAGAAGCAGACAAAACTAATCGGTTGGTACTTACATTCTTTAATTTTTTGAAATAGCTAATAATGAACTAGGTCTGAGGATGTAAGTTAAATATTTATTTGCGGAGCAAATCGTAGACGGTTCTGGAGATTATTGAGCTAAATGAATGGTTTGTTAGTTTAGCTCTTGTCTTTTTTAATTCCTAACATTCCCTGCAAGAAAATCATTCAAGTGAAATTAGCTGATTTTAATCGAAACTTGATATTTGTATGTTTGTGAATATTACTGTCCGGCTGGAATTATAGTTTTCGTCCAGATGAAAATGCCATGATTTGCATTTCACTGACTTTCCCACCCTTTTTTTTGCAGCATTTATGAATGTTGATTCACGTAAGCGGTTGCGCCAGCAGACTCAGAAAGCTCCATCATCACCGAAATCAATACGTTTGATCGGTCACTGCAGATCGTTCATATAGATTAGTAATTCAAAAAGGTCATAGATGAACGATAAGGAGGCTGCCAATGGTGGAGCAAAAACTTTAAAGCCTGAGTGATATTACCTTTTGACAAATGGTAATGTTACTAACGGTGTTCATTTTTTTCATGTTTCAAGTTGTGTACTGTGGTTCCAATATTTCTGTGATAATGTTATATAAGGAATTTTTGTCAGACATGTGGTCGCCTATTTTTTCCTAGGATCAGTCAACCTTCAAACAGTACTTTTGTGGATATTCTGATAGATTTCATTGCTGTGATTAATTGCAGTCAATTAAAGCTCAACAGGACTGTGCTAAATACACTTCATGTTACCATGATTTCAATTTTGAAAGGACACCTTAAACAATCTAATTCATGAGTGTCAGATTAAAGCTGATCGCTGGAAATTATCGGTAATTTTCTATCCGCATGTTTTTCATTCCTTTCATTAATTGTGTGTTTGTGGTCAAGTTGCCAAAATGTGTAAATTACTCTTATAAAGAGTACATTTAACACTGCACATAGTTCTCTCTTGTTTTAGATTAATATTATTATTTCTATTTAATTGTTTACAAGAACGTCTTTATACTATTAGAACTTTTTTCATCGGTGTAGGTTGTGATTGTAAAATATTATGGGGTTTGGAGGGTTTGAATTTAATGATTACTAGTTGTGATTATTACATTGTGTTTTAGTAAATTCATCTTTTAAACAGTTTTTCGAATAGAAAATTTACTTCCATTTTCTTGCATAATCATCAAGCACAGTACTCATCAAGAAAAATAATCACCAAGAAATTTGAATGTTTTTAAAGGGTTTGGAGTCCCAAGAAATAGATGGAGTGTAATTTTTTACGGCAAAAGAAAGATGTTTGGGGAAATGCGCAAGGGGCTATCACCTTCCCATTTGGTCCTATGAACTTGCTGACGAGATTACCTTCTCTTCAATAAGAGGATTAGGGAGGTCAATGGTCAAGGTGATTCTGCAGGTCGCAGAGGCTTCGTTGTCAAATGAAAAAGTCAAGTGCTGGGGATTTACCGTAAAGACATAAGTTTCTAGACAACAGGAATATTTTTTCGTCTCTTATGTTATTATTTTAAGAACATTCAAGAAGAAAACTTAAATTGCATTAAACAGTTTTATACCTCAGAGTCTCTCAGTTCAGATTTTTTTTTTTTCAAGCTTCGTATTACTTTGCATTTCCATAAAAGTCTTTTCAAAACTCGTATTAAGTCACATCTGGAATGACCTAATAAAGGCTCTCTAATGCAGAAACACATATGATAACTAAAAAACTACCCTATTAACTATTTAGAGTGTTTTTCACATATCCATTAGTCGATCGGGCAATAATTATTCCTCCTTTATTGTTAATATTCCTGGTAGTCGTTTTTTAATTTTTTTTTTTTCCCCAATGAACACCATAAAGGACCTATTTTCTCATCATCACTTCGAAATGAGAACATTAAATAGGGTCATTCTTTGATGCTTTTTTATTATGCCAAATAATGCGAAGTTATCAATTAGTAAACATAATTGAGGACACATATATTTTAAATGAAATATTCGTTTATCGAATAAAAGAAGACTAATGTGTTTTGGAAGATATTAACGACATGATTATCAGCAAAATGACTCAAGTATTATCTAGAAGTGACTAAAATGCAGCTGGTCTAAAAATGACAACAGCCGAAAGGAATTATAATGAAATGTTTACTTTCCTTGCTAAATTTGCCGTCATGCTCTTCCAGCAAGCAATCGAATAAGCTTATACTGATAAGCACTAATCAATACTGTTGAAAGACAGCATGACACTTCTGGACTTTTAGAAGTCGTATTTAGCTTCCTTGAATCCAAGACTTCAAAAATTTTGCTTATCAGTACAGATAATGAAATAACAAATACTATCTGAATGTTTACCTACTTCTAGAGGCACAAGAAAGGAGTAGTGTAGCGTTCTCATTTTGTTAAAATTAATTATCGAATAAAAATAAATAATTTGCGGTGATGGCGGTAACATCATAGAGGATTGGCGAGTATGTACCGCAAATTAGGTTTATCCTCAAGGTTAATTACTGATCATACATAAATTGAGAGGAAACGTATACAAAAAAGTATGGAAATGATTCTAATTGGTAAGACCTGCAATACCATAACTCTCTCTCTCTCTCATATTTCGATTCATATTGTAATAGAGAGATATGATGTCATAAGAAAAGTTCTATTCTTTTTCTTGTCCCTCCTTGGGTGTCCGTGATGTGTTTACTATTAAAGCTAGCAAATTCAAAAAAATTAAGGCAAGCATCTTTGCTACCGATTTGAATAGTAGTGAGCTATTGTAATGGATAGTGAGAAAATAAATCGTTGAAGCCAGTTAGCAACCCTTTCGTGCATTATTATTTTAGTCATCGGGGCGCCGTACAAATGTTAAAAACATTTGTTTGAGAGATGGAATTGGAAGTGGGGGAAGAGAGAACGAATGAATGAATAAAAAAAAAAAAAAAAAAGGTTTGATTCGATTGTCGATCGCAAAAGAATAGAAAGCAGAGGAGAGAATTGCTAACTGAAATACTTGCTTATGATGAAGAAATGTAGAATGGAAAATATCTAGAAATTAAATTGAATGAGTGTTACTAAATCATTGATCGATGAGATATTTGACATTTAAAAAAAAATTTATTGAATCATCTAGCAAATATCATATTAGCGATAAATAGTAGATCACTAACAACACTAATAAAATCGTCGAAAATAGAACAATGCAAATGAGCAATAGCTAAAATAAAAGCAACGAAAATGTGTTATTTTGATAAATTATAATGGGGAAAAAGGTAAAGTGTTCAAGAAAATGAACAAATGATCGAGTTTGAAAAGAAAAAATACGCACCGAAATGACCTTTTTTTTTTACATGAGTACACAACAAGGCTTATTTGTCACCACCAAATAAGCTTCTATCAAGCTTATTTGCATAAAAAGACATGCTCATAAATGAAAAGCTTTTATTAAGGAGCATCAAAAGAACCGCTTTCAATAGATATCCTCTGTAGATTTCCAGACTTCTTAGTCTTTTCTTTTATTTTCTATATTCTAATTAAACAAATGAGGTGTTGAGGACAGAGCACATCCAAATGCGAATACACGATAACAAAAGAATACCATTTACAAAGCGGGTTAAGGGTCAAGCTCAGGTCATAATTGATTGATGATGTTTCTGTCACTTCTTGTGCTAGATTATAAGCAACTTTCTGGAATATGTGGTGTGGGATAATAGGAACTAAAGAAATCTTATTCTACCACATTAGACTACTCCCTTACCAAGCGGGGTCAAACTTGCTGCATCACTTTCAATACCTAGAAAATATCACGCTTAGTTTGCATCATTTTCTGTGCGGTCTAATTAGCATAAAAAGGAGAGCCAACATCAGTTCATCAAACATTAATAGGGTATATTCATTAACTCTGATCATGATGCGTACTGGTCATCATCCTTATATCTTTTATCCAGTTCGCTAAACTCAATACTAATCCATTTGTAGAACAAAGTTACCGCTTTCTACAACCGCATATTTTATATTACAGTTCATTAATCATATGTGTGCTTATCGCACAAATCTTCTTGTATTCATAAATGAACACATCCTTTCTTGCATTCATTTTCATACATCTATCATTTTCAGTGACATTTATCTACCCGTAGAGCATAGCACTTCATTTGTAGAATAATAATTCGAATATACATGTTATATGGTATTTAAATTAGCTTATTATAGGTAACAATTCCTTGAAAGAATACAAAATGAAATCAGAGGTAACTCAATCATTACTGAGATTACTTTGAAATGAATTTCGACTTCAATAATTAACATTAATCTGTAAGTTTTAATAAGTAAAAGAATGCTCTGTTCCAAAAGAGCAAAAATCAATTCGACATTTTTACTGAATGGGGAATTCCTAACGATTTGCAGCATCTTTTTTTTTTTTGAAGTCGAAATGTTCAGCCGCCGTGACAAGTGGTGACTGATAGATATGCAAGGAGCAGTTAATGATGGCGGTAGCAGTTTTAATTACAAAATGCTGCGGCTAACACTTAAGTGGAGAGTGAACTTCTTGATTGATAGATTTTAGAATTGTAAATTTTCTGACAATAATTTAAGATGAGTCTTCTTTTGTGACCGCTAACCACCTAAAAGAAAGGACTGCAAAGAAGTGAAAATTAGAGCAAAGCGCTTTTAGACAGTTCACCGCTTTACAACTTAAAAAAATTCACTACGGTGATGATAGATGAAGAAAACTTTGCGGTAGACTGTTAATGAATTCTGGATAGACAATATGCCAATATATAATGCGGTATCATTTCTTTCAACTTTTTTTTCGGTAAAAAAAAAGATTTTTCCACACTTAATATTTTTAAACTTGGCATATGAAAAGTCAGGGTCAGTTGTGCAAAAGAAAAACAATTTTCTACATTTGCCCTCATTGTACATTTAATTGAAGTTTTGGACATTTTTAGAATCAACATAATTTACAATATCTAAAACTAACTTCCCTTCCGACAAATTTTTTTTTAATATGAGCGCGCGAAATATTTTCGAAAATAATGGACTTTCTTCTTTTGCTGTAATTTGAACAAGTTTTATTTCATCAATTACTCGAAAATTTTAACAAAACCAAAGAGCGGTTAATTACACTAAAGCCACATTAGTAACAATTAAACAAATAAGGTGTAGAAGAAAGCTTTTTGGAAATTAGACGTAATAAATTGAAATCTTAAAAAAGAAAACCTCATCATTCAATTCTCAAGCCCCAGAAATATTCAGCAACAGAACAAGTTTTTTTAGATAATGTGCTGACAAAAACTTACATACATACCATGAATACAGGAAAAGATGATCTTTAAAGGATTGAATTGTACCGAAATCTTTTTCATTTTTCATTATTGCATTATTTTTTTCATCGAAAACTTCAAACTCATAATATCCCAAAATCTAACACTTGTGTAAATTTTACCGAGTTGCACAGTGTTAAATGTACGACTGCATGAATCATTCACCTTGTTATGTAACCACCGGTGTCACCACAAATCAATTAATATGTCATCTGAGACAGGCAATTAAAAATCAATTTGCATGAATTGCCGACATTATTATTGCGCGGTGTACTGAAAATCTATTGCCATGGCATAACGTACTCTCATTTTGATAGAGGTCATCTTGATGAACCTTTCCTTCAAATGTTATACTGTAAATCTATCTCTTCACTTTCTGCTAGTATCAGAAGCTCAAGACAATGTTATACTTTTTTTGCATTGTTACAGTATTTTTGATAAGGTAAAATGCTCGATTGATTGCCCTCTCCCCTACAAACTACTTACTACTACAACTCTGCACAACGAAACTGCTTGATCGATACGACATTCTGTGAAATAAATCCTTCCATTCACATTTTTCCATAAAAGTTAAATTTTTTCCGATAATTAAGACATCCCGCAGTGGCCCGTCAATGATGCATAAATTGTAGGCCAATGGTCACTTGGACAATGTCGCTTGCCCTCTTTCTCATCCAGTCAAGCTCTTCTCAATAATTTGCTCCCATTATGATCAACAAAGGGAGCATAGATTAGAGTCAATGTATATCCAATTGCGTCAATATTTTTCTTAAGACTTCGGGAGAAAGAAATTTTCTAATTTAATTTTCAAAATGTTTACAAAAAAACCTACAGTAAAGTTCCAAAAAAAAAAAAAAAAAAAGAAATTACCCTAAATTTCAAAAGTTTTTTAAGTTTCAAGTTAAAAAATCAGCTGTATGAATGTATAATGTGTAAAATTGGATAAGTTAAAAAATGATGATTTCTATGATTTAGCTAACAAATTCAAGCTTTCCAAAAAAGTTGGCGGAAACCTTTTGAGAATATTATATGGCTGGAGTTTTTTCTTTTCTCGCTTTGGGTGAAGTATCATTTTCATAAGCAATCTTGCCGACATATAACATCACATTTAACCCACTGTAAAGTTTATTTACAAAGAATCGAATTGGGGAGGAAAGAGAACAGATATTGGTTAGATCTGATTGAATATAATGATTTAGGGGTGACTTAGGGTCATCAAATTGATTAGATAGACAAAGCAGCTGAGACCAACTTTACCCTTTCGCATCGTAATTAATCCAAACAAAAGAAATCGATAATTACGCACAGAAAGCATAAATATAATATATTAGCACAGAAAGCATAATGAATCAGCACTATTCATTTTTTGTTGAATAGATATTACCGCTTCTTATTATGCTTTCCTCATTTCAGTTTATAGTCAATCTCTAGCAATGATAAAAAAAAAAGAAAGAAAGAAACGAAAGGATCAGTCAATATGATATCTGTGATCCTTTTTTAAGCAACAAAAAGAAATTCATTGTATCAATTTGAAATTAAATCTGTTGATACTATATAGTCAAAATAAGAAAAATTATTAAGACTTTACGATGATAAATAAAACATTATTAACAGGCTTTATTTCATTTATTTGCAAATAGAAACTGATTAAACTGATAGGAAATGCATAATAAGAAGCGGTAATATCCATTCAGCAAAAAAGAATTTTCTTAAATTAGTGCTAACTGTTATGAATGATACAGTTATCTGTACTAAAGATAAACTCTCTAACAAGCTAAACAGATGGAATTGAGACAACATAATCAATGACGAATATAAATAAGCAAACATTGTATGATCTCACCCAATCCTAGCATGACCTTATATTGCTCACATGACCTAAACTATCCACAAATACTAACATTCGAGAATAACAATAAACGTTTGTAATATTAAGCATTCAACCTTTTCCACCTTAAAATGGTTGAAGATTCATTTTTTTAGAGATAACGATTGGTACTATTCAGAATATCAGAGATTTGCTTGAGTGAAAGGTGATTAGTTGATGATAAGGACTGATACTGCTCAGAGATTTGCTTGAGTGAAAGGTGATTAGTTGATGATAAGGACTGATACTGCTCAGAGATTTGCTTGAGTGAAAGGTGATTAGTTGATGATAAGGACTGATACTGCTCAGAGATTTGCTTGAGTGAAAGGTGATTAGTTGATGATAAGGACTGATACTGCTCAGAGATTTGCTTGAGTGAAAGGTGATTAGTTGATGATAAGGACTGATACTGCTCAGAGATTTGCTTGAGTGATTAGTTGATGATAAGGACTGATTATTAAAACATTGGATAATATTAATATATAAAATACACTTTGAATAAAACAATTAATAATTTAATGAACGAAATAATCGATAATTTCAAAAGTTAATTGAACATCCCTCCCTACTATTTCATGTCAAATGCAAGAGACAATTCAAATATGAGATTACGGTACGTTTCCCGCCATCAATCGACTTGGCAACATTTCAACTGCAAGGAAATCATTCGTACGTTAACTTGTGGGGTTGTCGTCTCTGTTCGCCCGCTTTGGTGGCTTATGCTCTCTCGCTCTCTCTCTTCTGGGATGTGATATAGGATATCCTGGAGAGAGAGATAGAGATTGATAAGGTGTGGGAGTGTGTGTGTATGTGGGATAGAGGGTAAGAAGGGAGGGAAGGATGAGTTGTAATGGTGTGGGATAAAGCTTAAGATATGAGTGCGTAACAATAATAGCATAGGATGACGTAGAGAGGGACAGTAACAAAGTTGCTTATAAGTGATAGAATATCATTATAAAGTGGTTATGAGAGGGCGAGAGAGAGAGAGAGAGGAGAGAGAGAGCTTTAGAAGCGTGAGCAAAGTGCTTTTGGTTTTGCATTTTGAAATATTTATAGTTTGAGGCTATTTGCACCGATTTATGAGCGCTCGCTAATGCGAAATGTAAGATTGTGGGGATGTAAAGTAGGGGACTATCTCAAAATATTGAAATTTCATTTAGTTTATTCGATTATTCTTAAAGGAATACACCTTGAGTATGTACTTTTATTAAATTAAGTTGTGATGATTAGATATTGTTTCAGTTGATGGCATGAACTCATTATTTCAAGTTATTATTAGGGAAGTGTTGAATAAATGAACTCATTATTCATAGGTTAAGGAATCTCTGGTGTTTTATTAAATGCAGTTTATTCTTGACAAAAACAAGATAAACAATGCATACTCGAAGTAGACGTGTATCTCGGTGCTTATTTGGTAAGCCAGATCATGAGGAGCTGGAAAAATGGCTAACGAAAGAACTTGAAGCTATTCAAATAGAACGGGTATAATAATTTTAAATTCCATATTTTTTACTGCCTGCAATCCATCACATATCTCAGATTTCAAGGGAAAATATTGTTCATGTTTGATTATAGGAGAAAGGATATGGTTTTGATTTTAAAAACGACCATCCCATTCCAAGCACAGCGTATATCGTCGAAGCAGTTCCTGAAAATAAGGTGATTCTTCAGTCATTTAGTTTTTTATAAGTGCCATCCAGAAGATAACTCAAAGCGATTAAAAAAAAAAAAAAAAATCAGGGATTTTTTTTTTTTAATTGAACATGTTCATTATTTAATTATAGGTGCCGTTTTTCTATCGAACAACTTATTATCCATCAAAGGAGCATAACAAAAAAGTTATGTTTTCTGTTGACTGCACGGAGCAGAAACCTGAGAGAAATAATGATGTGGTCGCTTATCATACGCGAAGTCGTGATGCAACTGCAAAATTGGTATTAAATATATTCAGAAATTGTAAAATTGGTATTAAATATGTTATTTTGCTTTAAATGAAACAAATCAAGGTAAACAAAAATTTTAACAGCTCCTGTTTTTAATCCGATCATTTAAACAGCGCTGTGATGTTTTTTAGAACTTGCCTGTTCCGAAAGTTCCAAAAAATCGTGTCAGAGTTGCATCACAGCCTCGAAATAGTGCTAAAATCCAGCGACCACCACTACTGAAAACGCGGGGTGTTCGTAAGGTTTCACGAAAATCTACTTTGCAGAAAAAGTCGAAACAATTTCTGTTGACCAGTAAGTTTTTATTCATCACCTTTCTTTTTAATACTTTCGAATCCTTAATTCCACATTCTCAATTGCAGTTTTTTAATTCCATCAATTTCGCATTTAGTTTCATTTTTCTTGAATTTGAAAGAATTACAAATTAAATTTTTCCAACAGATTCTTTCTTGAAGATGTAAAAATCACTCTGGAGGTCAAAGTTTAACAGGAAAACTTTTCCCAATAGGAATAACAAACTTAAGCAGGTGCTAGCATCTGTTCTTCTTTATGGTAATGATTTCTTGCTTGCAAGTATCATTATTTAAGCCAAGGTGTAACAGTTTGATAGATGGCTGCATCCATCTTTTATTATATCTCTCCTTCTTTTTGTCTTATGATACCGAATAGGTTATGCAATCACATCCTGCTGTAGTAAACTATTCCTTATAATGAATATTTTGACATTGATCACTTTGCCGTGAGCAATTGTTTGCTAAAATCACTTTCCTGTGATACGGTTTGAGGGGATTGAATGCATTTTCTGAACTCAGGTCGTGACAAATGATATTAAAATAGAGAAAGGGATTAGATGGAATAAAGACAGACGAATGATCTGAATAAGTGGCGTGAGGATCACTGATGAGAGAATGAGTAATGCAAATGAATTTTGCTGAGTGAGATTATTTTCTTTTTCTCTTTCAAAAGGTGTGTTGCTAAATAATGCTTTTTTTTATGTTGAACCTGTGTGATCATCTCGAACTTCATTTCTAAATTTTCAACTAGTCTGAATTAATTTCTTGTTATTTCTTATTTCTTTGAAGTATGCATTTTAAAACATACCAGTTAATTTTATGAGAATAATAGGCGAAGATCTTTATTTTTCTTCCTAAGATCGTTATTAAAGTTCATTTTTGGATTATGCTGAAACTTTCCGGGGGAAGATATACGAGAGAGAATATAGTTAATTTTTGTAGTAGTTTCTGGCACTTTAATATGTCCGATCTGTTGTCTCATGTGTTCGTTTTTTTCACTTTCCAAACATCACTTCGCATATCTCCTCTGCTTCATATTTGAAAAACCATATGTACTGGATAAAGGAATATAATCTTTTTATAAATTTGTCTTTATTTTGTTAATTTTTCGTGTTTATCCTTGCTAGTAAGTAGGCTCACATCCAAAAAAAGTTTTCAAGTGGGGTTTTGAAATTTGGAGCAATGATGGCATATCGAATAATGTGCTTTTTTTAACTGTTTAGATAAATCATATTGTTGTTGTTGATACCGTATAGTTTTTGGTCCTGGAGAACTATAAAAAAATAAATTATAGAAAGTAACGAAATAAATCAAAAAGAACAAATACGAAAGAGATATTTAGTATATCGTTATTGTGAAAATGCATACAAAAGACTAGTGCTATTGACCGCTGCTGACTTTTCCTTTTCTGATTATTTTCACTCTAATTTGTATTTCAAAGAAGTGAAATGAATTTAGATGAGGAGGATGAGAAAGGAGGATTACGAGGGATGAGAGGATATGAAGATACCTGGAAGTTATACAGATACAATCTGTATTTTATGATGTCTGATTTTTTTTTTTTTTTCAGTTTTTAAATTTTATGGAATTTTGAGTACCTAATCGCTAACATGTATTTGTGGTATGTGAGTGAAATTCTAAAACTTTTAGATTACTTACCGGTTGTGAAGAAACGGCGTTCGCTTACTAAGTCAGAATGCAGCGAATCATCGAAACTGCCTGATGATGTCCATGCAGAAATGGATTGTTTGGGCACCAAAGTCATCAATTCCAGCAGTTCTGGTGCTATATTTTTCTACTTTTACATTTAAAAATAATTAGAGAATAAATGAAAGAGATGTTCTTTGCTGAGTTGCGAACAAGGCAACATGAAGTTTTTCGTAACCGCAAGTAACTTTTGGATATTAGTGAGTGAACATTTATTCGTTCATGCATAAACATGTTTCCTTTTCTTCAAAAGGAAAAAAATCGTTGCCATCTAGCATTTTTTGCTTAAATGGAGCATCTGTTTCAATAGACAGAATTTATCTATTTTAAATGTTGGGGTGATTTTTAGTCATCATTTCAGGTGTTAAAACTCGTTGGCAAAGTCGAAGATGTGAAGATCGATCCTCAAGAAGCCTACGTTCTGCATTTTAATGTAAAACCCAGGTATTATAGAGATTTTTCTTCATTTTTATTATTTATTATCAAAAGGGGAGAATACAGTTTATTCCGTATCATTGTTGTATCTTTTCCACATTTTTTTCAAGAATAAGTGGGCATCTATTTTGATAGGACTAGTGTAAATAATACTATTTGGAATGGACTATAAAATGTTGTTTGAAAAAGACCACATGAATGGGAAAACTAGGGACATGTTATTTCACGTAATGGACTTGAAATAAGATGAGCATACGAAGAAAAACAGGATTTTATGATAATTCTTTTTTCTGGAGAGCAGGTCTGCTTTGATTTTATCTTATCTTAGATTTTGTATTCTTTTTTCCAGCTTGTAATTTTGAAAGAACTTGATTCATTCATTTAACTTATTTGCATGTATTGAAATGCAAATGAACTCGATTCAGTTTCTAATTTTGAAGGGTTTTTGCACAAATTTTAAGTTCTAAAAAAAAGGAAAGTTTCTATAAAGATTCCTATCGGTCATTCATTTTAGTGATTTTAAGTTTTAGTTTTTATAAATTAGGCTTTCAAAATGAAGTGTGAGCAGATGGATATGATCACATTTCGTAATTTATTATATGACTGAATTTCATTGAGCCCAATTCTTCATTTTCTTATTTGTAATCTTTTATTAAAATCAGGAAGAGTTTTAAGCAGCATTATTTTGATGAGTGGAGAGTAAGACAAGATAACATCGATTTTGTTCTATTCCAAATTTTCGAAATCTTTAGGGGATAAAACCATAAATTTCTTTTTTGGCTACAAGATTACTATCAATGGGACTGCAAATTCAATTGTGTATAATGTTTATTTTGTCATTTTGTTAATGGTAGCGGAAAAAAATATGATGACAGATGTGATTTGATTCATCAATTCATAAACAAGCATTTTGCATGGTAGTAAGAGACGAATATAGATATGTTTGTTAATACAGTAATTTACAATTAGAGCAGAGCGTTTAATTTGGAGGTGAAGTATGAAGAATAATTAAGCTATCTATCTGACCTGATTCTATCACTAAAAATTTGGGAAGTTCAGTCATGAAAGAAAGTATAAATTCCAAATATTAGAAAAAATTTATGACTGCAAACTTCCATTTTCAAATTCTGAATACTGCGGTTCTTTGCATTATTTGGATAAGGTATATATATATATATCTTATATATATATATATCTATATATATATATATATATATATATATTTATATATATATATATATATATATATATATATAAGGTATTCGAATAATTTCCAGATATATCCTTCAAAGGTGATGCAGTCAGTTGCTGATGTGCCTAGCACTTTGGTAGGTATAATTGAATTGAATATCTTTTGATTAGGTTGAAGTTGGATTAATTGAGCATAAGATCAAAAAATATTGAAATGTAATTCTTATTGGTTACACAAAGTGTCTATACAATTTTTTAGATCTTTTTTCTAATTTGTTCGCATTAGTTGCATTCACTGAGAACATGACTTTTCATACAGGTGAAGGATAGAGAATAATTTTGTTAGTCTATAAATCATGAGCGTAATGATAGCCTGCTGTTGTCACCTTAACATCATGAAACAGGTCATGCAATATAGTATGACAGATGGTACAATAAACTGTTATGCATTTCTTTTATCTATGTTACTAACAGTGCTTCTGCTACCCCTGCTGTTATCGAAATTTCAAATTTTCGAAGTCGTTCCTTACAAATGGCTAGCAAATCAGCAGTAGGATCCGTTAATCACCGTAGAAACCTAAATTCCGGAAACAATTAATTGCAGTATGAAATGAATGCATAGCAGATGCATGGTATGAAATGGATGTGTAACATTTGCACATCACATTCCATGCCCATTAATTTGATTTATTGTTTGAGAAGAACTAATTTTAAGAAAAGGCATTAACTTTTTTTCGAATCCATGGGTATAAAAAAATTGTTGGTAAAGGAGTGGAAAAAGAATTTCCATAGAAAGCTGACTTAATTATTTTGTGAAACTTCTTGGCTGGTTTTATCAAAAAACTACTTTGAAGCATTTAAAATATGATTTGGTATTGCAGTTTGTCAGTCACTGTTATTTCCTTAATTAGTGTTATTGATTAATGGCAATAATGAGTGTAGTGATAGAGGGATAGTAAAATGTAGTATTAATAATTACAATTATAAAACAGTAACATCGATCGCTGATATTACAGCTATAGCCATCTTTCTTGTATCACTGTTATGTAGCATTTTAGATTAATAATAAAGCTCCGTTTGTAAAATATTGACCAGTATGATGATAAAAATTCTTATACCATTGTTATTTTAGTCACTAGATTTATGGCAAATTATTTTTCATGAATTGGGAAAAAAATTTTTTTTTGCAGTTGTTATTCATTGTGTAATTGGTTAAAGAAAGAAGGAGATGGAAGAGTGAGTAGGAGGTTTTGGTGGCATGATGTGACAGCTCAAACCGTGCAATTATATTCTCAAAATTTGAATTTTATTTGAGATTAAGTGAGATACCCTAAACTAATACATACTTATTGTGCAAAATGGAGAAAGGTCTTAGGAACCACTATTGAAGTTTGCTGAAAAAAAAAAGCAATTATCTATAAGGCAAGTAAATAATAGCAGTAGAAGGAAGGGGTTCATTACTCTGCTTTATCTATATTCTACATGCTTGGTAGCTATTGGATTTCCAAAAAAAAAAAACCTTTAGAATGAATCCTGTTTGAATTTGCGTAATGCATTGGTTATTTATTAAAAATAATTATTTATGTCGAGAGGATTTTATGTCCAGTCATAGATTAAAATGTTAGATCTTAGTTTGAAATTCAAAATGTAAACTGTTCCAATAATCTAGTAGTTCACTTTAAAGATAAAGAATTTAAAAATGAGAATGAGAAGGGATGAAGTGATGATGAAAGGAAGATTCTGCAGATAACTTGATATCAGGTATTTCCATGCTCAATGCACTTATCTATGTGTATATTTAATTTCTTTACTGAAATCTTTGTTAAAAATGATTGATTAGTTGTGATATTTATGGTGGGTAACTGCTTGTCTGTCGATACTGCTATTTATTTATTACCAGAAATGTCAACTTTTCTGTGATTTCTTTGTTGAATAGCTCTGTCCGATTACTTCTACTGGATTTTTAAAATATCTTGGCTGTAGAAGAGATGAAAGCGATTTGCCGATGGCACTTTCATCGGTTGTTTTTTCGTCAAGCTACAACAAAATAGTTTCAGTAAGTTACGCGGCGTTTTGAAGTGTAAACTTACCTGAAGAAGTGAGGCTTGAAAAAATCCTTAGGAATGTCTAGTATAGGTTCGTTTGAATGTATGTATAAGTAAATAATTTTACTATGCAGATCAAAGCAGAATATCTCCAAAGTATGGGAGTTAGAGACATCGTGTTAATTATATTGCGTTGCTTTATAATTTTGTTCTTATCTTTCAGCTTAATAATCAGCAGAAGACGAATCTTAAGAGAAAGGAAAGGTTATTGCTAGTATCTTCTCTTATTAACAATTAGTTCCTGACTAGTTACAGTTGTGCAATGTTGCATATCTTATCAATATTTTATGCTTTTTTCTTATCTACAAATTTAAGACGGTACTCTCAAATAATGATAGTTTTTTTTTGACTTGCAGGTAGTAAGTTTGTTGACATCTCTTCGTGAGAACTTCGTTAGAACCGTGGTCTAATAAAGAATGAATTAATTCATGTTATTAGATCGTCGGTCGTTCGTGTGGGCTGTAACTTAAATACAGAAATATTAGATAAGTAACTAATTAGCATATCATTAAAAGATTTTTTTTCCACTCACAAAAATGGATGCATTTAAATGATAGAACGAAATTAAAATTTAGTTCTTTAGGATAAAGGAAACAGGGAAAAAGAATATTTTAAACTTAAACTAAAATTTTAACTATATTTAAATTTTTCTGGAGAAAGTTGAAAAAGTGAATATCACGTTGGTAAAGTAAATCTTGGTTAATGATGATAAAGGAAGGTCATCATGATGTAACTTTGTTTGAACCGATAAGAGACGTTGATGATGCAACTTTGTTTTTTGTGGACACTGCTTTCGCTGATACAGGAAATTTAGGAGAGTTTGATAAGACAGTGATCTGAAGCTTCGGTTGATTTATTATATCTTCAAAAAGAGTGATAGATCTAAAAATGACATGGGATGGGGTAAAGGAGATTGATTTTTTTATATTTTATAAAACACTTGGAGTTTATACATTTTTAAAAGTCTTTTTCAGGGGTGATGGTATTTTTCATGGGTAAAAGGAGAGAAAATCCAAATTTCGCTTGTTAATTACTCTTCTACACTGGTAATTAAACGATAATATTGTGCATAAAGTGCCTGTATATAGTTTTCATTTGTGATCTGGAACAAGGAAAAAAAGAAAAATAAGAAAAGATTCGGTGACTTACAAGATACCCAGCGAGAAATCGATGTCCAAGTGTGTTAGTTTAATTTTGCACAAATTTAAAGTCTTCAAATTTGCTTCTTGACAGGTATTTTATGACTTAATTTGGATTGAAACTATGAACATATTCAATACATTATCTCTGTGGTCATTCCATTCCGGCAATATATGGCATAAAATGTATGTTGATTACGAGGCTTTTTAGGCCTTTCTTCTTGTCTTACTTAAGGCAATGAAGCAAGAGCCATTTTTATAAACTTTTTCTTTTAATTTCAAGTTTCTTTTTGTCATTAAAGTAGTTTTTGAAGTGTTCCTTTATCAAACTTTTCCAGTGTTTTATGGTAGTATTCGCTAGGTATGCATTGCAAACATTTGCATAGTTGTATCTGGTTAGTTAATTTTGCTATTTTTGCTTTGGCTTTGTTAGGATGATGTGCTTAATTAGTGCCTTTCCTGAAAAAAGAAATAAGGTGCAGGAATACTGTCGTCATCTTTTCTTGTTAGCTTCTTTTTCTTAGTTTCTTAGTTTTTTTTTTTTTGATTCGTATCAAATTTT